TACACCGTTTACACCGTCTACACCGTTTACACCGTTTACACCGTCTACACAGTCTACACCGTTTACACCGTCTAACCGTTTACACCGTTTACACCGTCTACACCGTAATCAGCGTAAGCAGCGTAATCAGCGTAGCCAGCGTAACCAGTGCAACCAGCGTAATCGGCGTAATCCGCTTAATCGGCGTAACCAGCGTAATCGGCGTAACCAGCGTAACCAGCATATCCAGCGTAACCAGCGTAACCAGCGTCATCGGCGTAGCCGGCGTAATCGGCGTAATCAGCGTAACCAGCGTAACCAGCGTAATCGGCGTATTCGGCGTAACCAGCGTAACCAGCGTAATCGGCGTAACCAGCGTAACCAGCGTATCCACAGCGTAATCAGCGTAACCAGCGTCATCGGCGTAACCGGCGTAATCGGCGTAATCAGCGTAACCAGCGTAACCAGGGCAACCAGCGTAATCGGCGTAATCCGCTTAATCGGCGTAATCAGCGTATCTAGCGTAACCAGCGTAACCAGCGTAACCAGCGTAATCGGCGTAACCGGCGTAATCGGCGTAATCATCGGAACCAGTGTAACCAGTGTAACCAGCGTAATCGGCATAATCAGCGTAACCAGCGTAACCAGCGTAATCGGCGTAGCCAGCGTAAGCAGTGTAATCAGCGTAACCAGCGTAACCAGCGTAATCGCGTAATCAGCGTAATCAGCGTAACCAGCGTAACCAGCGTCATCAGCGCAGCTAGCCACCGCCAGCGTACCAGCGTGCAATCACTCGCGGACACGCTTTGCTACGTCGCTCCAAAGTTGATAAACTGAATCCTGCACCAGACATACCCATTATAAAGATAGAGTTGTTCGCTTGGTTTGGAAGGTACAAGGATGTTTGTCCATTCGCCGCTGTCAACTTAGCTCAGAACGCCTTGGAAAGGGCAGTTCTCGTGTGCGGGCAACCGGTTTGTGGCCTCACTCTCACTTGCAGCACTGATTGGAGACATCCTCCAGATGTTGCTGATCACCTGGTGAGAATTTTGGTGCAACCGCATAGAATCTACAGTGCATGTGAAGAAATGACACATCCTTCAAATCAACAGGCCCTGCCCTTTTTCGCACTCTCCCGACGAACGACGCGGAACGACGGCGCGCGTCTCTTGACCCAGGTCGCTTACTCGGTGAACCCGCAGCGCTTCGGGAACACGGAAGGCCCCGTGACTGCGCCACGGCGCGCGGAAACAGCCACGGTCGCTGTTTGGGAGCCGTCCCGTGTTTTTGGGCGCTCTGACTCCGTTGGACTCTAGACAAGTTATGGTTGGAGGTGTTCATTCACCCCTGCAGCTTTAGATAGCTTTAGTCTTTTAGTCATTTAATGAAGACCAGGTGACCAGATCTTTCCATGGGTGTGTTTGCCCTTGAGGATTGGCGTCTTTGATTGGAGCAGCCAGTCTTTTGGTCCAAGGTTCAGCCGGCTTCAGCTCTTTCTACGTCCGCAGGTTCCCTCCCTACCCGGTCAGTGGACATAATTGGGAATTGGTTTCCCACCAAAATATTCAAGTCGCGCTCGCATGTGTGGTAAGAACAGATGGGACAACTAAAAGGGTAACACTTCTTTCCGGAAACTGAGGGAGTCAGTGGGCAGTCTTGGGAACTCTCCCCAGTTGGATGGGCTTAGTCAAACTGTAGGGGACAGCTGCACCAGATGCATCTGAGCAGAGTCCAGCAAGGTCGCCAGAGTCTACAACCACCACCGTCGGACCGTCCGCCGAATTGGGCTCAAAGCTTCAGCGGACGACGCTTCGGACCATCAGATTGCCAGTTGAGGGCCGTGCTTTTGGTGGTCTCCGAACCTGTGGAACTTGGCAGGGTGCAATTGAAAAGGCCCCTGGGTGAGGGAGGAAGGGGGGGTTGTGAGGAAGAACATGGAGATCGCATGCATGTTGAACATGGAAAGAGTTGGAAAGGGTGGAAATGGCCTTGTTGGTGGAGATGTTGTCCATAAAGTGGAAATCCTTCCCGACTCATTTCCTTTGCAAGTGACACATGGGCCCGGTTGTATGGACTTGACTTGTGGCTTGCTCAACACTTCGCCCGAATATGGCAACTGACCTGTACGGGTTAGTTTTACACTCGTTTTCGGAACCTGATCGCCTTCCCAAGGGCCAAGGCCATCGAGACAAAACAAGAAGTGTAAGACCGGTCCTATCCTGTGATTTCCAACACCTGCTTCTCACCTCCACAATCTCAGACACCTCTGAATCAGATGCTCCTAACATGATAGAGAATTGAACATCAATTTAGACACAGATTGCCACTGATTGATTATATAGACAGACAGTGAAATTGGGGCGTTTCACCGGTCTTCCAGTCAACTTGGCTCTCTTCACCCGCTCCCAAAAATTCCAGACACCAAAGGATACCAAATCACGTGCTTCCCTTCGAGTGCTCGGAGTGTGAAGGCCACACCCAACTCACTCGGACCCCTCCGGGGGGCCTGTCCCGGCCGTTTTGTGAGGTAGCCCCTGCAGCTACAGGCTTTGGAAGGTCCCCAGTTGGCAGGAGTAGGAGACTTGGCAGGTCTAAGCTGGGCAGTGCTGTGGATTCAATGGAATGGAACGAACTGCCGGAAAGATCTGGAAAAGACTTAGTTGGCACTGGTCCAAGAGCTTGCCGGATAGATCTGCAAATTTGTTTGCTCCAACTGGATGAAGTATGTGACCAGGATGCTCTAGGTAATAAGGACTTGCAGCACAGCCACTTCGAACGCTGATTCCTTGCCAAAATCATGTTGTTCTTTGTAATTCATGCGAGTTCATATTCTGATGAGATTGTCCTCAAAATGTAGCCTAGCTTTGCTATAGATCATGTGTTTTGCAGCTTTTGTTTGTGCATGTCGTGTGGGACGTCGCATAATCGCATCCCGGTCTGTTAGGGCATGCCTTAATTAAGAGGTCCTTCATGCCATGCCGTGTCGCATCGTGTCAGCAGGGCTTGGTCGCCGGACCTGGCCACTCAGTTAGATGAAGAGCTGAGGGCAACACCTGGCAACACCTGGCAGGTACTGATCGGTACTAATCCCCACGCCCCGGGCACCGTAGTGGTGGCGCCCGTATGATGTAAGTGGTACTGTACGATAGTAGGCCGTATATCGATTAAATAATTATACTTCAGTGACTTCAGTGCTGTCATTTATGTGTATAAATAGATTATGTTATTTAATATCACAGAATATCTATGGCCCCAAAGGCCTTGGCAAGATTCATTGTTTATCACTTGGTCATCCGCAACAAGTCGGGGACTTCTCGGCTAAGGAAGACTGCTTCTTTCTTGGTGGCTTGAGTTCCTTGACGGGGAGTTCGTCGCGCGCGCGTGTGGCGGAGAGAGCCATGTGTGGGCTTCATGTGTTGGAAGATGTGATCACATGTGCCGACATGGAAAGCGTGGATTGATGGGTGCTTGATCCGGCATCCGGGTAGCAATCCCACCTCCCCAAAATTCTTCGGAGAGTCCTTAAACTTTGGGTCGGAGTCCGTCAGTCCATTGACATTGACTGTCTTGAAGTCATGAAGGCGATAATAAATGATAATAGATTAATATATATATATACTTACTATAGCAGAACATGCAAGTGGATGGCATGATATTTTGGAAGACCATTTTCCTTCTTGAACAGGGGTTCCCCACGAAAAGGGGGTGATGCGGGGCGAACACTCGCTTGCACACTGGAAATGATACTCGCTTGTGGCATGCACTGGAAAAGAAAATTTGCTGGTCTGTAGTGCTTTCCAGTGCACAACACGTGAGTGCTTTCCGCAAGTGAGTGAAATGTCCAGTGCGCTCCCGTGAGTGGCGCTCCCGTGATGCGCCCCTTGATCGGACCTGCAAAACAGGTCTCGAAGGTGGGATCGTCCTAATCAAGTTAAATCAAGTTAAATTCCCAAACCTGGTGGATATGTGTTTAATTTTCCAGGTTGCTTCATTAAGCAACTCTAAGTCAGGTCGACTGTCAGCTACCATTCGACTGTCAGGTCGAACGCGTCGTCATGGAGCTGGTGAACGAATCGAGCGACTGCTTTGTGCCTGGTCGAACGCGAGGGCAAGGGATTGCAGCGGGTGGGAAGTGGACCAGTTGGGTCGTTGGTGAGTTCCAACACTTGGGATTTTGAGACTGCTTTGTTTTCATCCTCAGTCTCCTTTACACCAGTCCAGGAGTCCAGTACCTGTTTTCCAGAAGTCCAGGGCATTTGAGGGGAGCATCAGGCACAGAATCCAAGGCACAGGCAAGCAGGCAAGCAACAATTGGATGATATGTTGATGTATAGATTGCTAGCTCCGGAGAATCCCTCCCAGACTGGGCTCAGTCTGTTTGATCGACTCAGTCGGTGAAACTCTTGGGGTATATTCCTGCAAACCATGTGAGACGCGTTTGGTCTTGGTGGATGTCCGAACTCTTCTCAACCATCATAATCTGAAGACTCCCGAATTATACACCTGTGCCTTGCATTGATGGCATCTCAGGCAAGGCCAATTGATGAATTGACGCCCAGGCCCCCTAAAAGGAGAAACAAATTCAATCTAAACCCATTTCCCATCCTTTTTCCTATGAGAAAACGGATGCGATCTTGAAACATAGTGAAACATGGAGAAAAGTCATACCAAGAACATCGGCTCAAACCAGGTTTTATTGTTTCAGATCCACAAGAAATATAGAGTCCATGGGCCCCCGGTTCTGAACCAAATCCATTTGGCTCTCCCACTCCACAGCCTGGTCCCGCGGTCCCCCCCATCCGGTCCTGCCCGGTGTGGCCAGTCCTGGAGGTTCTTTGTGACGTCTCCTCGGTGAGATATCCGATCTTGCTGCCCGGAGCAGGGGTGAAACGGAGGTGGCGAGCACACTATGCAGGGGACGGAGGTGGCGACTTCAAAGGTTCAATCAAGGTTGTTTTGTGACAGGTGCAACATGTAGGAGTGTGTAGACCGAAATGCATCCCTTGGTACATTTACTGTATAACTTTATGACCCATCCATAGTTGGCGTAACTCTTCCAGTCCCAATCTTCTAGGTTTTGGCCATCCAAACCTTTCCCCCACACAGCTGGCGGGAACCTCTGCCAGCTCTCCTGCCTCTCCACGTCTATCGCTCCCTTTCTATCCGAGATCCGATCCGGTAGTCGAGGCATTCCAGCAATGGCTTTCAAAAGCTCTATGGTCAGGGCGAGGGCGATTGGTGGGCCGCTCGGCTGAGGGAGAACCACCTTCGAAGGTGGAAGGACCCAGAAGGCTCAGATGAAATGAACGATATCATACGAAGGGTAATCCACTTGGAGGTGATGCAGGATGTTTTCCATTGATGTGTTCCATGGTTTAGTTTTTTTTTTTTGGGTGAGCTGCAGGTGAGCAGTGTTCAGTCTGCTCCTGGCAGGTTGTGGGGAATATTTTTTGTGGTAGCTGATAGCTGCCTTTGGCAGGAAAAAACTATTTGGAAGGGTATAGAGGAAGCTTCAGCGGATCACTTTGTGAGTGGTGATCCGTCCCCCAAAGTTTTTGTCTGGAGAATTCAAGGGCTCAAAAAAGTATTGACTCCATCGGTGGCTCCTGCATCAGTTGGAGAATCGGGGGCCATGGAGGCATGGGAGGCGTCCAATCCGAGTCGAGTGTGTGGTTTCGTTTGCACATAGGCGGGTGCCAGGAGGAGAGACTGAGACCAGGAGGAGAGACTGAGACCAGGAGGA